TATTAATAGTCTGTTTCCCACGCCAGCCTCAAGCAGGCTGCTGCACGCCAGCCCCTGGCACACTTCGGCATTGGCAAGAGCTGCCTCCTCGGCCTGACTGGCCTCCARTAGTCAGGAGGCAGGCCGAGGTAGYACATMGGACTTCCCAGGCACTTCCGAGGTAGGCAGTCGRCAGTTGTAGTCTTCAGGATTCGGGAGCAGCACTCTGGAGGGAGCGCTGMAGTGTAGTAGTAGTAGCGTTAGCTTGTAGTCTTCAGCGCTGRGCGCGGTAGGTAGCTGTAGTCTCCAGCGCTGGGCGCCATAGCTAGGTAGTACTAGAGAGAGAGAGAGAGAGAGAGTTTGGGCGGAGGCCAGAGGTACCTACCTGCAGCGCCGTTGCTCCAGCTTCGTCTTCGAGGTACCTGCAGCACAGCGCCAACATCACAGGTTAGTATCTGGTTCGTAACAGAGAGAGAGAGAGAGTTCTTCTTCTTCTTCTCAGTCCRCCATCTCTTCTCTCCCTCTCAACTTCTGAMTTCAYTGCATCTGCAGACTATRAGAGAAGAGATACAGAGCTTGGTGACATTTGATCCAGACTYGACTTTTRRGGGTTCAGACATGGCAACSAGGGACTATTTGGGATTGGTGGCCAAGACTTGGTGTTAACGACATTCCCATCTTTCTCCCTCCTTTCGTCTRATCCTTATCTCTTCGTYTGYGTATGTCTGGACCTGGCGCTTTCTTCCTGTGTACAGCGYCAGGCTCCTTCACACTTGGTGATGGATACAATGCATGTTTAGTCTGAGTTCAAACATTGATTGGGCTAGTTAGTAGTGCTCTAGCATTCTGCTTCGCTACTCTGAACTACGTGAATGAGGTCAGTCTTTGTATCAAAGTCTTCCCTGCGCTATTCAGCACCTCTTGTATGTATGAGAATGCACATTGTCTGTCGAGATTCTACTTGCACTGTATTGTCCATTCAGTCCTTTTCATCACATTGCAGTTCCTCGGTTATTACGTACATTGCATATCTGTGCATGTAACAGTTGGTATCGGAGCTTTGCACGTGAATCAGGACAACCTGATCTGACACGTGTGCGGGGACTAAAAAAAGCTAGTTAGTCTTTTCGGTTTGATTAGGACATACTAGTTAGACCCCAAAATCACGATCTTTACCTTACTACCGAAAATCGAATTTGTTTTTCTTTTCTCGGATTTTATTTTCTCGCTATTCTGCTGTGGAAAATCGCTATATCGCAACATCTGAAATTCCTATTTTCGTTTTTCTTTCTGAAAATCCGAAATTTCGCTCTTGAAAATCCGGAATATTTTTCTTTTCGAAAGTTTCGATTTCCTGTTGCATTTCCCGTTACTTAGAAATTCAGAATATTTTCCTCTCTGAAATTCGTTTTTCTGAAAACCGTACGGGAAATACCTCCTGCGTTATTATTTTTCAAACTGTGAATCAGAATAAATCCGAATACGTATCATTTCTGTTCGGAATTTTTTTCGCAGTTGTAGGATACTGTCGTTCAGTTCTATAAATCATTGGCAGTCTAAAGTCGAAATGTTTTTTCTCTTTCAGAGATCATTTCGTACTTCAAGGGAGATTGGGAGACCTACCGAACTTGCATAAATCGGGATTTTATTTTTTTTCTTTCTCGATTTTTTTTTTTTTTTGCAAAGTTCAAACTTTTCTGTTTTGATTAGTGGCTCCTTATCTAATTGTGAGTTGGGCGATTTTCCCACCCACCCCTCCCCACCTATGTTGTTGCCATCTCTCGCCTTGCCGTTTCTGTTTGTATCCGGGTACCCCCTGCGGCGGCATTGATGAGTTGCCACGTCAGCAGGCCACGTCAGCAGACCACCTCAGCAGGCCACGTCAGCAGACTACGTCAGTACGTCAGCAGGCCATGTCAGCAGGCCACGTCAGCAGGCCACGTCAGCAGGCCACGTCAGCAGGCCACGTCAGCAGGCCACGTCAACAGGACACGTCAGCGCCACGTCAGCAGCAAGGGATACCACAGCAGCAGGCCCCCGCCTGGTCTGTGCTGTTGCGTTCACATACAGCAGTCATGGACCAGAGGCCCGGAGAAACAGACGAGGCCTATCAAGCCCGCATGTTGGCCTAGAGTACCGAAACAAAGAAACGGGCAGATGACGCTGCCGCAGCAGCGAAGAAGAGGGCAGAGGATGCCGAGCAGGCACGTCTGTTGGCGGTTGAACAACAACGCTAGCATGACGAGGCAGCAGCAAGGACTGCCGATGAAGAAAGAGCACAACGTCGTGAGAAGATATTCACCGGAGAGCGGGCGTTACTTACCATGGCAGCAGAATGGCGAACCGAGGCCGAGAATAGCCAGTTGGAGGATAGCGCAAACAAGATAGCGCTCCTCCTCTCGCATCTCACGGATCTCCTGGCAACCTGCATTACACAGCAGGCAGAGATCCTTGGTCTCGACAGATCGCTAGCTCACCTCCAAGACCGTTTTCAGCGGTTGGAGCAGCGACCAGTTGCCGCCACCGACGCAGGCTCTTCCAATACTGCCGACTGCCTCGATGCATTGGAGATGCACGTCGGCTCACTCCAGGATGGCGCACAATTACAGCTCACCGCGACGCAACAGTTGCAGCAGCGGGTCTGTACCACCGCCACTACCTCGAGTACGGAGCCACGCGGAGACAACTCCAAAGTTTGACGGGCAGGAGATCGTCTGCGACTCCATGAAGACAGATACGATTCCATGGTTCCGCAAGTTCGAGCTCACGATGCAGCTGTCCAACGTCAAGGAACACAAGCATCACGCCTACTTGTACTCTCGCTTAGGGGGCGCGTGCCAGGCTTGGTTGGACAACCTCCTGTCCAAGTACGGAGTAGTAGCGGCCGACTTGCACACCAAGATCAGTTGGGATGATCTGAAGGCGGCGTGGCACAAGCGGTTCCAGGTGGAGCCGCCAGAGATCAAAGCCATGGACAAACTCATGCTCTTCGAGCAAGGCACGCTGCCGAGTACGGACTGGATCGCCGAGTACCAACGCTTGACGTCAGTCCCAGACATCCAGATGGGCTTCAAGGCCATCCGCCATTACTTCATCTCAAGGTCATGTCCGACATTAAGCAATGCCCTGACTCATGTCGAGGACACCTTGACGACGACGGCGGAGTTGTTCGACAAGGCTGCGCAGATCATTATCACGAACAAGGAGGCATCTACGTCAGGCCCGAGCAGGGACCAGCATCGGCCAAGAATGGTCGTGGTCGCAGCGGCAGCGCCGTTAGACCAAACCAGCGAGGCTGTGTCTGCCAGTGAAGGGGACAGATTCGCAGCCGCCCGGGAAGGTGGCCGCCCCGGCAGAGGCCGAGGACGCGGCAAGACAAAGACACACACCATGTCTAGCCCCGGGCCCGGTGCAGCAGCTCAGACAGGCCCATGGACCCCATACGGCATCTCCGAGTCCGCATACAAGGCGCGCGAGAGATTCCACTATTGCCTTTGGTGCAAGAGCGATCTTCATCAGACGCAGGGTTGCCCATTGAAAGGCAAGGACAGACAGGGAAACTGAGCACCGCCGAGAGTGACGCGACGACACTCTCGACGCCTTCGGAACTGGTTTCTTCGCGAGTAACCAGCCTTCATTCTGAGGCGCACGCGGAAGTCGACAGTCTGCTTCTACTTTCTTTTGAGGACTATGCTGCCCGGCTCGTTCCAAGGCTGGGTACTCAAGCTCAAGGACAAGGAGTGTGTGCGGTTTCTTCTCCGTCCGGCAACAGCGACATATCGTCTTCAAGTGGTTCGTCACGGGATTCGGCGCGAGAGTTCAATATAGAGGCATTGGACCCGCTCACGTCTGAGGACTTTGCATGGCTTCCTCTCCCGACCACAGGCTGTTTGCCGAGACCGCAATGCGCAGCACTTGACGCTCATCTCCACACTTACCTTTCCTTCTAAGCACCACCAACTTCGCCGACGGATGACGAAGTCGCGGTGGGGGACATCCTGGCGTACGTTACCAAGGTGACCCGCGAGTTTCGCGCGCAGCGGTACGATAACAACAATGCACCGCTCATGTATGTCCGCATTCAAGTTGGGCAAGCGTCCTGCAGCGCTTTGCTGAATAGCGGCGCGTCTCGCAACTTCATGAGCCAGTCTTTTATGCAAAAGGCTGGCCTTGGCGCACAAGTTCGGAGRAAGGCAAACCCGACGGCGATCAAGTTGGCAGATGGAAAGACGCAGCAACTTCTCGACCGTTACATCGAGGCCGTACCGGTCTATTTCGCACCTCATGCATGCAAACCGGTGACATTCGATATTCTCGACACGGACTTCGACATCATTCTGGGAATGCCTTGGCTTGCAAGTGCGGATCACACGGTCAACTTCCACCGGCGGACTCTTCGCGTTCGCGACGCCTTCGGCGCGGAAGTGGCGTGTACTATTCCTCTACCGCACCCTTCGATTCGGTGCCAAGTGGTGACGGCCAAATCATTCCGGGCGACTTGCGCTTACGAGCAGCCCGTGGAGATCGGCCTATGTTTCCTACGGGCCATCGCGGTGGCCGACGCTTCACCCACGGACTTGTCTTCGGACCCCCGGGTGGTGCGGTTGCTGGATGAGTTCGCCGACATCTTTGAGTCACCTACCGGTGTGGTGTCGGACTGGCCGATCTCTCACGAGATCATTCTTGAGGCTGGTGTCGTGCTGCCGAAAGGTTGCATCAATCGCATGAGCGAGGAGGAGCTTGAGGTCCTCCGCGCACAACTCGACGATGTGTTGGTTAAGGGCTGGATCCGCCCGAGTAGCTCCCCATATGGAGCACCAGTTCTCTTCGTCAGGAAGAAGAACAAGGATCTACGATTGTGTATCGACTACCGCAAGCTCAACGCGCAAACCGTCAAGAATGCGGGGCCTCTTCCTCGCATCGACGATCTTCTCGAGCGGTTGGGCGGCGTGAAGTATTTTTCCAAGTTGGATTTGAAATCGGGATATCATCAAATCTCGATCCAGCCGAACAATCGCTACAAGACTGCGTTCAAGACGCGGTACTGGCATTTTGAGCGGGTGGTCATGCCTTTTGGCCTTACCAACGCCCCGACGACCTTTCAGGCGACGATGACCAATGAATTCCGTGCAATGTTGGACCGGTTCGTGTTGGTCTACTTAGACGATATTCTCATCTATAGCCGGTCATTGGAGGATCATCTGGGGCATCTTCGACAAGTGTTGGAGATGCTCCGCTGCACCAAGTACAAGGCCAACCGCGACAAGTGTGAATTTGTCCGGCAAGAGCTGGAATACTTGGGCCATGTTGTCACACCGGAGGGCATTAGTCCGCTATCGGACAAGATTCAGGCCGTCCAAGAGTGGCCGGAGACTCCGAACGTCACGGATGTCCGCTCGTTCCTCGGTCTTACCGGCTACTATCAGCGCTTCATCAAAGGCTACTCCAAGATCGCGGCCCACTTGAACAAGCTTCAGTGCGAGGATCGACCGTTTGACTTCGGAGAGGAGGCGCGAGGATCATTCTTCGCTCTCAAAGCCGTGCTATTGTTTGCGGAGGTCTTGCGGATATACAACCCGCTTGCGCCTACACGTGTCACTACGGACGCGTCAGGCTATGGCATTGGTGCAGTCCTCAAGCAACATGATGGTGTGGACTGGCACCCGGTCGAATACTTCAGCAAGAAAGTGCCTCTTTGTGCATTCCATTGACGATGCACGCAAGAAGGAGCTCCTCGCCTTCGTCCACGCGCTCAAGCGGTGGCGGCACTTCCTCCTTGGTCGAAGCCAGTTTCGATGGGTAACGGACAACAATCCGTTGGTCTTCTACAAGACCCAAGACACCGTCAACAACACCATCGCTCGATGGATGGCTTTCATCGACCAGTTCGACTTCTTTCCCGATCACATTCCCGGGAAGTCGAACCGTTTTGCGGATGCTNGACCAGTTCGACTTCTTTCCCGATCACATTCCCGGGAAGTCGAACCGTTTTGCGGATGCTCTTTCACGACGTCCGGATCATTGTACCGCAGTCTACTTGACCTTCGAGATCGACGACGACCTGCAGAACAGCTTCATCTGCGGCTACCAAGCCGACCCCGAGTTTCGCGACACGTCCGCGAATTGCTCCTCTCCTAATCCGGCTCCTTCTCACTACCGGATCCAAGAGGGGTACTTGCTTGTCCACACGCGGGGGAAGGACCTTCTTTGCGTACCAAGTGATCCTCACTTGCGTACACGGCTTCTTGGCGAGTTCCACGACGCTCCCGCTACTGGACATTTTGGAGTCAATCGCACGATTGGCCGACTTCGCCAGCGATTTTGGTGGCCCAGCCTTCTCTGCGACGTCACACGCTATTGCGAGTCATGCGAGGTTTGCCGACGCTGTAAATCCCGCAACCATCGTCCGTACGGCGAGCTACGACCATTGCCGGTCCCGTTGCGGCGAAGGGAAGCGATTGCCATGGACATTACCRGCCCGTTCCCCAAGCACAAGACCGGAGTGGATGGGATTCTCACGGTGGTCGACCGACTCACCAAGCTCGCCATGTTTTTGCCTTGTCGCTATCATGCCAAGGCACCGGAGTTGGTCGAGGTTCTTTACGCCGGTTGGATTCGCACCAAGGGTTACCCCAAGGAGATCGTCTGCGACCGCGACACTCGGTTCATGTCCTACTTTTGTTGGCGCTCATCAAGCGATGGGGCTCATCTCTCAAGCCCAGTTCAGCTCGCCACCCTCAGACTGATGGCCAGACGGAGAGGGCGCATCAGCGCATGAGCCAGCAGGCCAATCGCCAGCGTCTTCCTTGTCCATTCCGCGTCGGTGACCTCGTCTGGGTTTCCGCAGCGGAATTCAGCCTTGAACAAGACGTCTCTCGCAAGCTCCTTCCGAAATGGATGGGGCCTTGGCCGATCATAGAGCCCGCTGGGGACGCACCCGAAGGACCCTCCTTCACGATTCAGGTGCCTAGCCACTTGCCTGTCTACCCAGTCTTTCATTGCTCCAAACTGGCTCTCTACACGCCAGCGGATCATGACGACTTTCCCGGAGACGTACGCAAGACCCACCTTCTATGGATGGTTTTCAGGAGGTCGGCGACATCATCTCCCAGCGACGCTTGGGCAACAAGCCAACTGAGTACTTAGTGAATTTTGCATACTGCACACACCGAGCTGACCGTTGGTTAACATGTGCGGAACTTCAAGCAACAGCTCCAGACGTTCTCGCACGCTACGAACGCAAGATGCAAGGCAAGCCGGTTTCTTCGGCTCCCCGCCGCGCCCGCGTCCAGGTTCCACCTTCAGATCGACGGCTTCGCCCTCGCCTCGATTTGACTTCATAAGGAGGGGGGGGTGTTACATGCTGCGAGTGCACACGCAGGCCATTTTGCAGGCCTGCGTCCGTTCAGGCTAAAAGCCTGAACTTCAGACCGAAAGCCTGAATTTCAGGCCGAAAGCCTGAAATCCAGGGCTTACAGGCCCCCTGTCGGTTCAGGCCGAAAGCCTGAATTCCAGGGCCTGCCCCTGTGTCGTTTCAGACTAAAAATGGCAACAGCATTTTTAGCCTGAAACGAAGGGCCATTTTCGGTCCTTCATCAGAACGACCGGAACCAGGGTTTCGGGAACAGACTATTAATAGTCTGTTTCCCACGCCAGCCTCAAGCAGGCTGCTGCACGCCAGCCCCTGGCACACTTCGGCATTGGCAAGAGCTGCCTCCTCGGCCTGACTGGCCTCCAATAGTCAGGAGGCAGGCCGAGGTAGTACATCGGACTTCCCAGGCACTTCCGAGGTAGGCAGTCGGCAGTTGTAGTCTTCAGGATTCGGGAGCAGCACTCTGGAGGGAGCGCTGCAGTGTAGTAGTAGTAGCGTTAGCTTGTAGTCTTCAGCGCTGGGCGCGGTAGGTAGCTGTAGTCTCCAGCGCTGGGCGCCATAGCTAGGTAGTACTAGAGAGAGAGAGAGAGAGAGAGTTTGGGCGGAGGCCAGAGGTACCTACCTGCAGCGCCGTTGCTCCAGCTTCGTCTTCGAGGTACCTGCAGCACAGCGCCAACATCACAGGTTAGTATCTGGTTCGTAACAGAGAGAGAGAGAGAGTTCTTCTTCTTCTTCTCAGTCCGCCATCTCTTCTCTCCCTCTCAACTTCTGACTTCATTGCATCTGCAGACTATGAGAGAAGAGATACAGAGCTTGGTGACATTTGATCCAGACTTGACTTTTAAGGGTTCAGACATGGCAACGAGGGACTATTTGGGATTGGTGGCCAAGACTTGGTGTTAACGACATTCCCATCTTTCTCCCTCCTTTCGTCTAATCCTTATCTCTTCGTCTGCGTATGTCTGGACCTGGCGCTTTCTTCCTGTGTACAGCGTCAGGCTCCTTCACACTTGGTGATGGATACAATGCATGTTTAGTCTGAGTTCAAACATTGATTGGGCTAGTTAGTAGTGCTCTAGCATTCTGCTTCGCTACTCTGAACTACGTGAATGAGGTCAGTCCTGTCAGGTCAGTCTTTGTATCAAAGTCTTCCCTGCGCTATTCAACACCTTTTGTATGTATGAGAATGCACATTGTCTGTCGAGATTCTACTCGCACTGTATTGTCCATTCAGTCCTTTTCATCATATTGCAGTTCCTCGGTTATTACGTACATTGCATATCTGTGCATGTAACATAGGGAGAGGAGGTCTTACCCTTAAACTTATTTTCTTACCGAAGGAAGAAGTCTTCGCCGTCGGCCTGCGGACGATTTCGCATCTGTTCGCCCTTGCTTCGGCAGCTAAGGCACCGCCCTGCTCCCCCACAAAACACCTTCCCCCCATGACAACTGCTCCTAGTCCGTTCACAGTGTTCACCACGCAAAGCTATTGCCCTGCGTTCCGCCGGGGAACAAGCGGTCGGAACTAAGGGTCGTCGTTACTCCCCAAGGGCTCTGCTCCACCATCCGTGCTGCGTCGCATACCGTCATGTACCAAGTATCTGGCGCGCTTTTGCGGCGACTGTTGTCTCATCCTTCAGCGTTCCCAGTAACCACTCGTTTCGTTCCCGATGGGTGACAAATTTCCCAGAAGCTCTCCAATGCATTTGCTCCGTTCCACCAAGCAGCAGGCCCGATCGGGCCATCGCCCGATGGGCGCCGATGTGCTCTTGTTCATTCGGGGGAAGCCAGTGCCACCCCTCTTCATGGTACGTTCATAGCACGGCTAAAGCACCCGATCCCATCCGAACTCGGAAGCCAAGCACTGTTGGCCGTTGGGCCGGAATGGTTCTGGGATGGGTGACCTCCTGGGAAGTCCCGGTGCTGTACCTACAGGCAAGGAGCCCTTTTGGGCCCGCGGGACATCTCTGCGAGTCAGCTGCAAAACAACATGCACACAGGTCGAAACAGGGTATGTTTGGGGAGTTCTAAGTTCAAACACATGCAACACGTGGCACAGCAAACATAAAGACTGGAAAGTAGTAATGGGCAGGAGTAGGGAAGACATAGGTGCAGAATACAACGAGCCTCGAGCAAAGTTGTGCAGCAGCCAGCAAAGGACAGAAAGGCGGGTATGGGGTGGAAAGGGACTGGGGAAAAGAGCTCAGCCACCGAGACTGACCACCAACATCACACCCTTCCGCCCTTCCTTTCACTGGCACCCGCCTCAAGGGATTCGC